AGCAATTTAAGATTCATACCAGTCTCATCAGCTCATTCCTAATACAGTATACAACAACTGGCACAGCAGTTAAGTCTCTGCTTGGGATACAAAGTGCCTGGGTTTGATAACCCAGTTCCATTTTCTTTTTTTAAATATGTATTTTTATCGGAAAGTCAGTTTTACAGGAGGAGAGACAGAAGAATGATTTTCCATCTGCTGGTTTACTTCTCAAGTGACCACAACAGCAGAGCTGAGATGATCTGAAGCTAGGAGCCAGGAGCTCTTCCAGGTCTCCCACACGGGTGTAGGGTCCCAAGGCTTTGGGCTGTCTTTTCCCAGGCCACAAGCAGGGAGCTAGATGGGAAGTGGAGCAGCTGGGACAGAAATTGGTGCCCATGTGAGATCCTGGTGCATGCAAGGCAAGAACTTTAATTGCTAGATTACTTATTGCAATGGGTTCACAGCTTCATTTCAATTCCAGCTCCTGCTCATGTGCACCACAGGGGTCAGTGAATGATGGCCCAACTAGTTGGATCCTTGCTACCCACATGGCAGGCCCAGACTGAGTTCCAGGCTTAGCACTGGCCAGCGGGTATTTGACAAGTCAACCAACAGATGAGAAACCTGCCTGCTCTTCTGCCTTTCTAATAAATGGAGGGGGTGGGGCTGAGGCAAAAAAATTGTTTCAAAAACATATGAATACATTTATAAACACCAGATTGCTAACACAAAATTAAGTAAAATCAAGATAATATTCTGACAGAAAAGATAATTACGCTTTTCTGTCATGCTCATTTATTCAGCGTTTGAAACATCTGTGACATTAAACACTCCGCTGGTAGTAGCATGATAAACAGGTAGGCACTTGTGAAATTCTTAAATTCTTTGGAAAATCTGAAAAGAAAAAAATCTGGGAACAGAACATTAACCTAGTGACTAAAGTCCTTGCTTGCATGTGTCGGGATCCCATTTGGCTGCCTGTTCGTATCCCGGTACGTGCAGTATTTATGGTTAAAAAGGCCAAAAATTATGGCTTCTCCACCCCCCCCCCCACATTTTTGGTCTATCAAGTTGCTGTTTATTTATTTTTTTGCCTGTTTGGTCTGTGTGTAAAACAATGTTGACAACAATAAACCAAAATTTTATTTTGATGAGTTGTTCTTTAAAAAAAAAAAAATCTGTGGATCAGTGTTATGCCTGTAATGCCAGCATCCCACATGGGTCCAGGTAGAATCCTAGCTGTTCTGCTTTCAGTTCAGCTCCCTCCTTATGTTCCTGCAAAATCAGTGAAGGGCTGCCCAAATCCTTAGACCCCGGCACCTACGTGGGAGTCAGGTGAAGTTCCTGGCTCGGGCTCCTGGTGTAGCCTCAGCCTTTATGGACATCTGGGGGATGACCAGTGGATTACAGAGCTCTCAAGTACTCGCTCTCCCACTCTGTAAACTGTTTTACTTACTTAAGTAAATACATTTTTAAAAATCTTTGCCAAAAAAGGAGAAAATTTACAATGCTGCCAAAATTCAGTGTTAAACATGGATGTTATCCACACTCTTGAGAGAGACATAAAAATACAATTATGTATCAATCCACAAAAAACAAATACTAAGTGGGAAAATCTCTGCTAATACTCTTAACATTGTAGGCAAAAATCATCTCTATGTTCTTACATAATGATAAATTTATCTCACTGCCTTCAGAAATCTACCTACACCATTCTAGGCCCATGGTATTTCATTTAGTAATTCCCAGAAAAAAAAAATTACACTTTGGAAGTCTTAAGGAAATTTAGAGAGATCATCTGGTCCAATTTTCTGATTTTCACATCCAGAAACAAGATACTAGAGAGCTGAAATGAGAGGTCCAAGGTTACATGTAACATTTTTTGTACCTTCACTATGGAAACAAGCTTATTCACATATACTATGGCTTACTGAATTTAATCCCCATTGCAGGTCCTAATAAAATTGTTTTATTATGAATAAACCTTAAGCTAAAGTGTGCATACAACTAACAGTAGTTTAAATATGCTTCACCCTTTAAAAACAAATAAACAACAGCAACAACAACAAAAACGAGTTATTGGCCTGGCGCGCTAACTTAGTGGTTAAAGTCCTTGCCTTGAAAGCTCCAGAATCCCAAATGGGCACCTGTTCTAATCCCAGCAGCCCTGCTTCCCATCCAGCTCCCTGCTTGCGGCCTGGGAAAGCAGGCAAGGATGGCCCAATGTTTTGGGACTCTGCACGTGCACGGGAGACCTGGAAGAGGCTCCTTGTTTCAGACTGGCTCAGCTCCAGCTGTTGCGCTCACTTGGGGAGTGAACTATCGGAAGGAAGATCTTCCTCTCCGACTCTCCTCCTCTCTGTATATCTGCCTTTCCAATAAAAATAAATAAATCTTAAAAATAAATAAATAGTTAAGAAATTTCTTAGGATTTTAAACAATCATTTCCATAGCAAAGATTGATGTTCCCATTTATAATTATTATAGAGTTAAATTTCAAGGTGAAGTTTGCGATCATTTTAAGCCACCACTTTAAAACAAAGCTCAAAGGGCTTGGCGCGGTGGCGCAGTGGTTAAGGTCCTCGCCTTGAACGCCCGGGATCCCATATGGGCGCCAGTTCTAATCCCGGTGGCCCCGCTTCCCATCCAGCTCCCTGCCTGTGGCCTGGGAAAGCAGTCAAGGACGGCCCAAAGCTTTGGGAGCCTGCACCCATGTGGGAAACCCGGAAGAGGCTCCTGGCTTCGGATCGGCATAGCATCGGCTGCTGCGCTCACTTGGGGAGTAAACCATCGGACGGAAGATCTTCCTCTCTGTCTCTCCTCTCTGTATATCTGCCTTTCCAATAAAAATAAAATAAATCTTTAAAAAAAAAAACCAAAGCTCAAAAGTTTTCCTGTCTTACACCAAAAGTACAAAGTCCCAGTTATAGCATTTTCCTGAGTATTTATAAACCTCCTTGAGAAAATTACAAAAGGGCAAGTTTCATGCCACAGACACACAAGCCACTGAATTCTTTTTTTATTTTATTTTTTTTATTCTTTTATCAAGCCACTGAATTCTTACGGTGATGACATATGAATTAGACTTGCAGACTCATTGACATAAACAAAATCAAAGTTGAAGTTCAGTGCTCAAACTGAAAACAAACAAAAAGCATATATTATCACAATTTAACAAAAAGATGTGTGCAACAAACTCTTCAGGTGACTTAACTTACAGATTCTTACTACCAATGTCAACACACCCAATCAGAATGGAATACTAAAAATAGACAATGCCATAATTTTGCTGAGATAATCAACGTGAAAAGGTGCAAGAACACAAAAATCAACATATATTTCCCGAAAGGGGAAGCAACTACTGAACAACTACAGACGTGATGTTGACCAAAGTATCAAAAGAACAAAGACCTTTTGATACTTTTGAAACAGGTTACCCTCACCACAAGACCACAACACGCGTACAAGACCAGGCATTCCAAAAGTCAAGATACAAAAAATGCTACTTCCCTCACAGAACTAGTTAACTGTCACCAAAAGCTGACTTCATGCATTTTTTTTTTTCTCCTAAACAAATTGAGCATCTCTTTTGGAAGCCCACAGCTAATGACAGCTGGAAGTTAGGCTATCATTCTACACATAAACCAAGTGAAGCTTAGTACAGGTGCCTGAGCCACAACACCCAAACTGTCCAACTGCAGCCCTTTACACACGTGCGCACTGACAGCCCAGCCTGAAGAAGCAGCCGCAGCGATTCAAGGGCACATCACTCCAGCAGGGTCCCAGACCAGAGCCGGCAAGACAGGACGGCGTTGACAATTAGAAAGCCGTCAAAGTCATGTACAACGAACCACTTACAAGTAAGCATGGAACTTGCTGCAGAAATCATCGCACCCTAAATCTGCTAAAATTTTAAAGGGAGCGGAGGTGCTAAAGTGAACTTGACGGTGCAACCTCAAAACTTAACAAAATGCTCTCTTCCACTGCCTTCGTCATCAAGTAGCTTGCTGGTCAGCCTTCTTTACCAAATTGCAATGCACATAGACACAGGCATATGTTATATATGTGTTTCCCATTTCCGGTTTTTGCCCCGGACTCACACATTCCCCAATGAGTCTACCACGATGTGGTAGACTCACACTGTGCACTGCACCTTAAGAGTGACCGCTATTCCAAAAAACGACGTACCGCACAGAATGCACTCTCAGGGGAAGAAGTAAAAATCAATGCACCAGTGGTGCTTTTTATAATGTTCCCTCCACCAAAAATAAAAGCCTGGGTAGTCTCCTTGCAAGACAAGACTTCCGACGCTGCCCCTTAAGAAGACTCAAGCCAGGCCAAATCAGCACACTGAGCATACGGAGCTTCCTCCTGCCAAGTATCTCCTCCTAAAGGCCTCGCGCGGCTCACAGCTCCGGGACACCGGAGAACTTCACGAGAGGCGAGGGTTCAGGACCTGGTTATGGGGGGGTTGAGAAAACGCCTCGCAGAGTGGCCTGGAGTATGCACGACAGTTGCCGTCCTGGTCGGAGCATGAGAAAAAGCCTCTTCCCAGGGATTCAGGATCTAGGTCCGCCACTCTCTACCACCCCAACCTGACAGCAAGCCGAGGGTGTACCCCCTCTTCCCCGGCAAGCCCCCCACCTACCTCACGATGTGGAAGCATCCACCACCCACCCAGCTCCCCGGGGCTCAGGCCGCCACCGCCGCCATGTTACAGCTGGTGCGGCAGAATGCGTCAGGGAGGGCGGGGGCTGGGAGAGCAGCGACGTTGCCCCGGCCGGCCAGGCTCGGCTGCAGGCCCCGTCCGGCCGCTCCGGCAGCCGGGCCAGCGACGCGGCGTCCCGAGCAGGCCCCTTCCGCACCCAAACAGCCCGCACACCTCGAGGCAAAGACGGTTAAGTCGGCCGGCCTCCCGCGCCGGCTCCGCCCCTCTTCCTCCAGCCCTTCCCGCTTTAGGACCCGGGGCTGCAGCAAATGACGCCCACACAAACCACACGGGCTGCGCGCTATTTTACCTGCACCGGGGGTTTCCTTTTCCCGGGACGGGTCCTTAAAAGCGCTTCAAATCTACCGCCGCCAGAAAAGGCGCTAAAGCCCACTAACCGCCTCCCTCCCCCCACAGCCCAGCCCCGGCGTGGAGGGGAAGCGTCGCGCAGGAAGCGCGTCAAGATGGTATGACGACATCTGCTGACGTCCCTGTGTGGGCGTCGCCACTTCCTTCCAAGAGAAAAGAAGATTTGGGACGTTTTAGCTGCCTGGTTTCTATGTAATTTTATCCTTTCTAAATGAGTTGACAGAGAATGGTTTTAACCCTCCGAATGCCATATTGTTCGGAAACAAAGTGCTTCATTTAATAAATATTTCCTAAAGCTGTCAGGCCCCTGGGAAGGGAAACCTACCTTCAGGGAGCTTCCAGTTCAGTTTTTAAAAGGACTAGAAGAGAAATTCTAGATTGTAACAGACAAAATGTAATTATTAATGTTGTGTTTGATGATGGAGGTTATTATGCCTGCTTTACAGATGGATTCACTCAGGAAAAGTCCCGCTCCTTCATACTCACTTTCTGCTAAACAGTGTTTTAAAATTGCAAATCCCGTGCAGCTTAGGGGAACTATACGTCATCATTCAGTTATTTTGATGGGTAAGTATGCTTAGCTTCTCTTGGAATTCATCACGACTACTTTGAGAGGAGCAGCTATCCTGAAAGAAGTTAGGTTTTTGTTCTTTCGTTTTTGGGGTTTTTTTTTTAATACATATATATTGAGGATTGTGATTTCTGTTTAAATATTTATTTCCATCTACTTGAAAGCAAGCGCATGCGAGAAAGCTTCCATCCGCTGGTTCAGTCTCCAAATGCCTTCAGTTGCCAGGGTTGGGCTTGCAGCAAGCCAGGACCATGGAATGCCATCCTTTTCTCCCAAGAGTCCAAGTATTTAAACCATCCTCTGCTGGTTCATGGGCAGCGAGTTGGGAGAACTGGAACTAACATTTTAATATGGGATGCTGGCATCCCAAGTAGCAGTTTAACCAGCTGTGGGGCAATGGTCTTCCCCCTGTAGGGAATACCTAAGGGGCTTAAATGGTTATCATATGAAAGAATCTAGGCTCTGAGGGGGCTGCAGCCCCTTATTTGCAACACCCACTGCGCAGGTGTTCCATTTTGGATCCAGCTTCCTGCTGATGCTCCTGGAAGGCAACCAATGATGGACCCAGCACTTGATCTGCTGGTACTCACTCAGGAGACTCAACTTGAGGTCCTGGCTCCTAACTTTGGCCTGGCTCAAACTTTGTTGGTATTTCCAGGAGTGAATCAAAGAATGGAAGAACTTTATACCACCTGCTCTACAAACACACAGAATATAAGTGTCTCATCCTGTCAGGTAAACTAATTTAAAAAGCGTGTGAGCATGCGGTGAATGTGAGGGCTATGAAGAATTTAATGTAGCAATGAAACTGAATAGCACAGTCATCTTTGGGCAGTCCAGAGGTATTGTAAATTTACATTGCAGTGGCAAGAGTAATTCTGCAATACCGTTGTTGTCAAGCAACACCCCAAATTAGTTGGAGATGTTGCTATAGAAGCTTGCAACTTGAGTCAGCTCACCTGATGTGCAGAAAACCATTGAGGTAGAGGAAAAATGGTATTGCAAAGTGGACAGCCAGAATCCAGGCAGCAATTGCTTACTAAGGAGTGCTTGATCAACTTGTGCCCAAGTTCCTAGTTGTTAGCAATGCTGTGCTTTTTTGGAAATTCATGATGGCCAAGAGGGTACCATTGTTCTGGGGTAAAGGAGGTTCTGTGTAAGTTCCCCAGGCCTGGAATTTCTCTGGCTGCACTTGAAATGCATTGACCATCAACGTTTTAACTATCAGAGAAGCAAATGACTTCATGAGTTCCATGATTAGATGCCTATGGGACCAGCTGTGCAGCTCTCTCAGATCAGTGAATTCCTCTGATAAAGAGCAGGCAAAGACACCTTAGAATCAGGGTGGCAAATGTGAGGCTGGGTCCTGCTTTTACAATACAAGGGTTTGGTTTTATTGGGTACTTTTCCGAAAGGTTTTTTTTTTTTTTTAAGGTGAATTTCTGTGAGCATTGGTTTCTTTTTGTTTCTTGCACATCTACCTGCAGAAACTTTTTCTGTAATGACACGCAGATTAATTTCCTGGGATTTAACTTATACTAAAGGCTGTGTGTACGAGGAATTGCTATTATATTGGTATATTTTCCCCTTTTATATATATGGATTCACTTTTGAGGATATACTATATATCATTACTACTATAATTAACATTTTGGGGTATGTTAAAATAATTGATAATAATTAACAGTGAAATAATAATTTATTCATTTTATTTTATTTATTTTTTAAGATTTACTTAATTTTATTGGAAAGTCAGATATACAGAGGAGGAGAGTCAGAGAGGAAGATCCTCTATCTGATGATTCACTCCCCAGGCAGCTATAATGGCCGGAGCTGAGCCAATCTGAAGCCACGAGCCTGGAGCTACTTCTGGGTCTCACATGCAGGTGCAGGGTACCAAGGCTTTGGGCTGTCCTCAACTGCTTTCCCCGGCCACAAACAGGGAGCTAGATGGGAAGTGGGGCTGCCGGGATTAGAACCAGCGCCCATATGGGATCCTGGTGTGCTCAAGGTGAGGACTTTAGCTGCTAGGCCACCGTGCATTTTAAAAAATATTTATTTATTAATTTATTTTATTTTTATTTGAAAGGCACATTTACAGAGAGAGGCAGAGAGAGAGAAAAGGTCTTCCATTTTCTAGTTCATTCCCCAAATGGCCGCAACAGCTGCATCTGAGCCAAATTGAATCCAGGAGCCAGAAGCTTCTTGGTCTCCCATGTGGATACAGGATAGGTAGGACTTGAATCATCTTCTACTGCTTTCCCAGGATGTAAGCAGGGAGCTAGATGGGAATGGAGCAGCCATATGGGATGCTACACACGCTGAAAGGTGGAGGATTAGCAAATGGAGTCATTGTGCCAGCCCATAGTAAACATTGATAAAAGGATTTATTTATTTATTTTGGAAGAGTTCTAGGGAGGAGACATGGAGAGAGATCTTTGATTAGCTGGTTCACTCCTCAGATGCCAGCAGTGCCAGTGCTGTGGGCCAGGCAGAGCCAGGAGCCAGCAGCTGCATCTGGATTTCCCAAGTGGGTGATAGGGACTCCAACACTTGGAGGCCATGTTCTGCTTGTTTTCCCAAACCATCAGCACGGAACTGCATTGGAAGTAGAGCAGCCAGCACAGGAACCCCTTCCTTTTGTGATGAGGGTCTTGCAGACAGTGGCCTTACTCACTGTGCTATAATTTTGGTGCAGATCCATGCTAGTTTTAGTATAAATTTTAAATGGTCAGAGTTTAGGAGACTCTTGGAAGAAGCTTTACATTTTTTAAGTATTTAATTTTCTTATTTGACAGAGAGAAAGGGACAGATAATTCTTTCGTTTGAAGGGTCACTTCCTAAATGACATCTATACCTAAAATTGGACCAGGTAGAAGTGAGGAGCCAGCACCTCCACCCTGGTCTCTCTTCTGGTTAACAGGGATCCATGTATCTGAGTGAACTTCCTATATATACCTCCTATGGTACACATTAGCAGAAAGCTGAATCAAAAGCTGACTGGAAATTGAACCCAAGCACTCAGGCAGGCATCCAGGCAGTGTCATGAATTGCTGTGACACACAACATCAGCTGCCCTCAGAAATTGCACTTTTTTTTGGTTAGCATTAATTTGACTTAATTGCAAGCCAGAGCGATAGGCAAAAGAGCTCTGTCATCCACTGGTTCACTCCCTAAACTGCCAAAAAACTGTCAGGGCTGCTCCAAGCTAAATCTAGGAACAGGAACTCCATCGGGATCTCCCACAGAGGCAGCAGAGACCCATGTACTTGGATTATCTGCTGCTACCTTCCCAGTGTCAGCAGTAGAGAGCTGGACTGGAAATGGGGCTGTTGTTACAAGAACTGGCATCCTGATGGGATGCTGATGGTGTTGTGGTTTTAGGCATCTAGCTCAAGGTCATTCAAGGTCACAAGCTTGGAAGCCATGCCTCCCTTACCCACATAATCCTTTCTGCCCACCTAGTGAGTCAAATGATGCTCATCTTTGATCACCTGGAACCTGACAGGTGGCAGTATCACATTGTTGCATCAGGACTCTCCTCCCAAGCTCCCATAAAGGCAGATGATTGGGAGGGGCTCTCTCTTGGTGGAGTGTTCCCATCACTTTTGTATTCTGATACCTGGCCTTCCCAGTGCCTTCTTGCTCTCTGGCTTCCTATGGACAGATTCTAAGCACAGGTTGCTCTTTGTCCTGGCCCCTGTCTGTATTCCTCAACCTCTGTCGACTACTTGGATAAGTCAGTGAAGATGGGAATGCTAAGACACTTTGTATTTCTACTTTGTGTACTTTCGAGAGTTCCATGAGAGCTGAGGCCTGGCAGTAATGAAATAAGGACAGAGAAGCTAGGAAAAGCTGAATGTCTGCAGCTTTGTAAATGTGCCCAGGGTGATTGCTGCATGTCTCTTAGGGTAACTTACATTGCTGGCGAAGCTGGAACATAGGTCTTCATTCTAACAGAAAGACTTGATGGTGATGATCATTTGTTCCTGTCAGGGTTTTGATTCAGACTGGATTGCCATGTGAACTTCTCATTTGCTAAATTCTAGTGGACACTGCCATCACTAATCTTGGTTCATAAGGACTCCTTAATATATGCTAGACTTATCTGGAATGATCTGTCTTGCACCCAACCAGTGTCACAAGTGTTAGCTTAATCCGTTGTACTACAATGCCAGCTCCAGAATCACACACTTTTTAAAAAAGATTTATTTATTTTTATTGGAAAGGCAGATATACAGAGAGGAGGAGAGACAAAGAGGAAGATCTTCCATCTGCTGATCCACTCCCCAAGTGGCCACAGCAACTGGAGCTGAGCCATCTGAAGCCAGGAGCTAGGAACCTCTTCCAGGTATCCCATGTGGGTGCAGGGTATCAAGGCTTTGGGCCATCCTTGACTGCTTTCCCAGGGCACAAGCAGAAAACTGAATGTGAAGCTGGGCTGCTGGGATTAGAACTGGTGTCTGTGTGGGATCCCAGCATGTGCAAGGCAATGAC